ATTTGGCGGACGGCTGCCGAGAAGCGTGACTGTGTTACATTCCAGACCAGGTGTATCCTATCTTGTGTGTTCGATAGGCGCTCTCCTGTTCGATCCTTTTTTCATAGCTTTTGATACCTGTACCAAACCATCTTTTTCATATCCTCGTCTTTGGAAAACTGTCGCAAACGCTGCTTAATCTGGAAGCTGACCTAAATTGCTTCTTTCCGCTTTCGTCGAACGCAGATTGCTACATGGTGTGCGGCGGACTTGTAGAAGAGGACGCCGAGGGATTCAGGTACGACTGGTACGACCGGTACGAAACAAAAGGAAGGTTCTTCTGTTTCCCTCTTGTTGTAGCTCCCTGTTGATAAAATTTAATACGCAACTTCTTAAACATCACTCCTGCCGGTGCCAATCCATATGCCGTACCCACGCCGTACAACCACCGCCGTACATCACAGGTCCGTTACAGAGGCCGTGGATCCCCTGCACGCGCACAAGGTCTTTGCATTCGCCGCGTTGGAAGCGGCTCGCTGCGTGATGATGCCCGGTACCGGCCAGCCTGTACGACTGCGAGTAGGCATCCACAGCGGCCCCGTCATGAGCGGCATCGTGGGGCGGAAGATGCCCCGTTTTTGTCTGTTTGGCGACACAGGTGTGTGAGTTTGGGGTTATATATTTATAGTTTTTTTGAGTCTCCGTTCTCTCTAAGTGAAGCACCGGCCAGCAGCAATGGCGAAATGTCTTCGTGGTTCTTATTGGGGTTTTATTGTTTTCGGTTTCTGTTGGCAGCGCATGTTGCCGGGCCCTCCTCCCCCTCCTCCTCCCCTTCCCCTCCCCCTCCTCCCCCTCCTCCCCCTCCTCCCCCTCCTCCCCCTGCTCCCCCTCCTCCCCCTCCTCCCCCTCCTCCCCCTCCTCCCCCTTCCGTGCGTTAGTCTGTGTATCGCTCTTTCCCTTCTCGCCCCAGTCAACGTTGCCAGCCGAATGGAGTCCACGGGTGTACCTGGTGCCGTACACATTTCTGCGGCCACGCGGGCCTTATTGGGCGCCGCGGCCGACGGGTTTCTTTCCACGGGGGGAATTCCCGTCAAGGGCAAGGTACGGATTGGGGAGTTGGCAGTTGACGGTTGGGAATTGATGTTATTGTTCTTTCCTGGTGTTATTCGCACTTTATTCGCACTGGTCCACATGCCCACGGATCCGCCACCACGCAGTTCTCTTCACAGAGTTGTTTACCGGAGAAGTGAGGGGGGGGGCATATTCCCTCCCTCACTCACTCACCCACTCAAAGAATACCAAGCGCAGCATCATTCGCGTATTGGGGTGTGAAACGCAGTTCTTCATGCAGGTCGTACAATAGTACATGTACAATAGTAAGCCTACGAATTGAGGTACAGGGAAGGAGCTGCAAGCGTGAGGCGTATGTGTGTGCGTGTCCGTAGATGGAGACATGGTTAGTTAACAGGTGGTTATTGTTAGTTAGGACGTCCGCAATCGGTTAGTCAGCGATATATAAAACGGGGGTGATGGTGGGTCGATCATTATAATAAACGCAGCAGTCGGCTCATTTAGGGCGAAGTGGCAGCAGCACGAGGAGGAGGGCGAGGGCGAGGTGGACTGTAATATGTACACACATATAATCCACAATACACGCATACAGGAATGGAAGGTAACTGCAGGCCGGCTGCCATGAGGTGGGGGTGGGGGTGGGTGGTGGGGGTGGGTGGTGGGGGTGGGTGGTGGGGGTGGGTGGTGGGGGTGGTGATGCCTGGAAGTCGGAGATGATGTCGACTTTACAATCATGGCGCAGAATGCAGACCTGCAAGTACGTACATACGTACATACATAC